CCTCTGTGTGACCCCGCGGGAGCGCTCCGCTGTCGAGGACCACTGTGCGCCTCCATGGCGCGCTGCTGCTGCTCGTCCTCCTCTTGGAGGACGGTCGAGGATCGAGGCTCCTCTTGTCCTGGCGTGGCGCGCCTGCGCCAGCGGCTGCCCCAGAGAGGTGCGGCCATGCTGGCAGAGAGGGGGAGGATGAGGGGGGCTGGGGAGGCTGGGAAGGGGGGGGTGAAGAGGACGGGAGGACGGGAAGAAGGGGGAGGGGGGGGCTGCGATGTGCGCTTCCGTCCCGAGCCCCCTCCTCATCAGTCCCTTCACGCACCGCTTCTCTGCGCGGGAAGCTCCCCCCCCTTGAAAGATGAGTGCCCCATGGGCCCTGTCATTCAGGCGAGAGTCCCCTGTTCAAAAGGAGCTGCCCTGCCATTTAGCTTGAAGGAGTGCGAAGAAATAGGGTAATCGAGTTCAACGAGATGTCGATCAAGAGCAGCGTTTTGAAAAGGAACCGTCCTCCCTCCGTGCAGTTGTTGCAGAGTGCTACACCCCTGGCACGCTGATGCAGCAGGTTCGAGCGAGACGCTCATTTTAAGAAGGAACCGCCATCTATCTGTGCAACTGTTCCACAAGGTCAGACTCCTGACATACCGTTGACCATCTATCAATCAGGTTCTACACCTCGGAATATCGTCGCCTTCCATTTCTGTAATGGTGCAAGACCTCCTTCGGAGGGGGAGGAGGAGGAGGAGGATAACGACAACGAAGAGGGATGAGGAGCCCAGAGTCTCTTCTCCTCGCCAGTTTGCCCTCCTTCTGCGCTCAGTCACGCCGCTCTCTCCCGTTGCGCCCCTCTCTCTCTCTCGCGCGAGCTTGCTGCTCACCTGGATGATCAGGTTCGCCTGGGTGGGCGTGGGAGGAGGAGGAGGAGGATGCGGATCGGTAGGAGGAGGGAGGGAGCGGAGGGGAGGAGCAAGCACAGGGCGGCAAAAGGGTCAGCAGCATATGTGTGCAGAAGGCGAACGCGCCGAAAACCGGATCGCAAGCGGGTTCAAAAGGCGGACTTTGGTATTGCTTATAAGAAGACAGGCGTGGCGCCAAGGCGAGCACTCTACCCTGAAACCACCCGCCTTCACCCTCGCAACTGCTACAAGCTCTCAGTTGTTTATATTGAAGGGGGACGGAGGTGGAGCATGGGGGGAAGCGAATGAGAGGAGGATGGGACGAATGGGAGGATGTTGATGAGGATGAGGCGGGTAAGGAGCAGGACAAGGAGGAAGTGGGGAGGGGAAGGATGTTGGGAGGATGATGGCGCGAAGAAAAGGAGGCGTGGGATGAAGGGACGGGTGATGATGATTCTGATGATGACGCTGATGGTGATGATGATTAGGATGATGACGACGACGACGATGATGATTATGGTGGTGGTGGTGATGACGATGATTAGTACCATGCTGGTAATGCTGAAGATATTCCTACTGATTCTGTTGATGATGATGACGATGCTGTTGATGATGATGCTGATGCTGATGATGATGCCGATGACGATGAGGGTACGGTACTGATGACGATGCTGCTGATACTGTTGTTTAGGATGATGTTGATGCTCATTGTGATGGTGCCGCTGCCGCTGCTGCTGATTATGCTGATGATGATCGTTATGTGGCGATGATGGTGTTGATGCTGGTGTTGGTGTTGATGGTGTTGATGCTGATGATGCTTGGACCACTGCTGCTGTTGCTGCTGTTGCTGCTGCTGTGGATGATGACAATGTTTTTGGTTGTGCAAATGATGATGGCGGTGATGATGACGATGCTGATGATGTGCTGCTGCTGATGATGCTGATGATGATGCTGATGATGATGCTGATGATGATGCTGATGATGATGATGCCGTGGTGATGATGATGCTGATGATGATGCTGATGCGGATGATGCCGATGATGATGCTGATGATGATGATGATGATGATGATGATGCTGGTGATGATGCGGATGATCATGCTGATGGTGTTGATGATGTTGTCGATGCTTCTGAAGAGGATGTTGTTGATGATGCTGTTGATGATGATGTTGATGAGGGATGCCGATGTTGTCAATTTGATGGTGGTGATGATGATGCTGATGAGTATCATGCTGATGATGTTGAAGATGACCCTACTGATTATGTTTATGATGATGACGATGCAAATCATGATGATGCTGATGTTGATGATGCTGATGACGATGAGGGTACGGTACTGATGATGATGATGCTGCTGATACTGTTGTTCAGGATGATGCTGATGCTCATTGTGATGGTGCCGCTGCTGCTGCTGATTATGATGATCGTTATGTGGTGATGATGGTGCTGATGCTGATGTTGGTGTTGATGGTGTTGATTCTGATGCTGATGGGGCCACTGCTGCTGTTGCTGCTGTTGCTGCTGCTGCGGGTGATGGCAATGTTTTTGGTTGTGCAAGTGATGATGGCGGTGATGATGACGAGGTTGATGCTGAGCTGCTGCTGCTGCTGATGATGATGCTGATGCTGATGATGATGATGCTGGCGTGGTGATGATGATGATGATGCTGATGATGATGATGATGATGATGATGATGATGATGATGATGATGATGCTGTTGCTGGTGATGGTGTGGACGATCATGCTGATGGTGTTGATGATGGTGTCGATGCTTCTGAAGATGATGCTTTTGTTGATGACGGTGATGATGATGATGTTGCTGTTGATGCTGCTGCTGCCAATTCTGATGATGATGGTGGTGATGATGGTGATTCTGATGAGTATCATGCTGATGATGTTGACGATATCCCTACTGATTATGCTGATGGTGATGACGATGCAAATCGTGATGATGTCGATGATGATGCTGATGACGATGAGGGTACGGCGCTGATGATGCTGCTGATACTGTTGTTCAGGATGATGCTGATGCTCATTATGATGGTGCCGCTGCCGTTGCTGCTGCTGCTGATTATGATGATCGTTATGTGGTGATGATGGTGTTGATGCTAGTGTTGGTGTTAATGGTGTTGATGCTGCTGATGCTTGGGCCACTGCTGCTGTTGCTGCTGTTGCTGCTGCGGCGGATGATGACAATGTTTTTGGTTCTGCACATGATGGTGGAGGTGATGATGACTATGCCGATGATGTGCTCCTGCTGCTGATGATAATGATGCTGCTGGCGTGATGATGATGATGATGATGCTGATGACGATGATGCTGATGCTGATGATGATGATGCTGATGCTGGTGATGATGCGGATGATCATGCTGATGGTGTTGATGATGTTGTCGATGCTTCTGAAGAGGATGTTGTTGTTGCTGACGATGATGATGATGACGATGCTGATGCTGTCAATTCTGATGATGGTGATGATGATGCTGCTGATGATGATGCTGATTATGATGCTGATTATGATGTCGATTCAGATGATGATGCCGAGGAGGCTGTCTGCTATGATGATGATGACGACGACCCGGACGCTGATGCTGATGATGATGATGATGATGATGATGATGTTGATGCTGATGCTGCTCATGATGATGATGATGATGATGCAGATGATGCTGATGATGGTGTTGATGCTGATGCTGGTGTTGCTGCTGCTGATGATGGTGATGGTGTTGATGGTTGTGATGGTGACTGATGATGAGTGTGATGATGCTGGTGAGCATGCTGCTGCTGATGATGACGATGATGATGCTGCTGCTGATGCTGATACTGATGATGATGACGATGATGATGATGCTGCTGGTCGTGATGATGATGATGATGCCGATGATGATGATGCTGATGCTGCTGCTGATGATGGTGATGTTGATAATGTGCTGCTGCTGATGATGATGCTGATGATGCTGATGCTGATGCTGATGGTGATGTTGCTGTTGTTGATGATGCTGATGATGTTGATGATGATGATGACGATGATGATGATGCTGATTATGATGATGATGGTGATGATGATGATGATGATGATGATTATGATGATGCTGCTGATGATGATGATGATGCTGATGCGGATGATGATGATGATGATGATGATGGATGATGATGATGACGATGACGACGACGACGACGACGACGATGATGATGATGATGATGATGATGGTGATGATGATGATGATGATGATGATGATGCTGCTGCTGCTGCTGCTGCTGATAATGATGATGATGATGATGATGATGATGATGATGATGATGATGATGATGATGATGATGATGATGATGATGATGATGAGGGGGAGGAGGAGGAGGAGGAGGAGGAGGAGGAGGGTCGTCTCGGATGTAACCTTAGGCCGCGGATCAGGCTAACTCACCTGACCGATGTGAAAGACCTGCCGCGCGGCCTAAAGTGGGGGTCGGCGGACAGCGACGATACTGAGGTGCCTAGTGGGGAGCACCGATCGATACTCCACCTCGCGATCGCATTCGCTGGCCGCCGCCACCTTCTCACCCATGCCCACGTGCGATCCTGTCGAATCAGGGCTCCTACAGGGTGGCATCCCAGGTCGGGGAAGCGAACTTGCCGTCTTGGGGCGCTCTTAGGTCGTCTTCGGGCACTCTTGGGGGCCTCTTGGACCGTTTTGGGGTGGTCTTGGGGGCCTCTTGAGTCGCCTTGGAGCGTCGAAAAGCCGAACAGGCGGGAGCGCCCAAATCCTGCAAGCACCAAATGGCAATCCATGCTTTTCGCCTCTTGGGGCCCTCTGTGGAGCCCTCCTCCCAAGAGGGCTCCCGAGAGGGCCGGCACGGAAGAGTGCGGTGTGACCGACGTCACGGAGGAGGGCGGAACGGCTCGCAGGAGCGGTCCTGAGTGGAATGCAGGAGTGCTGATGCGGGGGCCTTCCGCTTCCATCTGCGCCAGGATCGGACAGCTCTATATGCCGTGTCGTCTTGTTGAGCTCCCCTTTTCCCTCCCCCCTCCCTCGTAGTCGGCTAGGCTCAAGCATCTTCCAAGTTCGGGACCCAGAAGGACACTCTGGTCTGCCTGTCGCTCTCCTGGATCAACGCTTCGCGCCATGGCGTTCCTGGTCGAGGAAGTCCGCGCCTTGGTGTCGGCAGCAAAACAGGTGGCGTTCGCTGGCGCCGACGTCCACAAGGCGACGGCGTGGGTGGAGTTCGTGGCGTCCGTCCACGAATCGCCGACACAGACGCATCTCTTAATCTTCTACTCCAGTACGGTGCGGGCGCTGGCTGACACGATCGGTTCACGCATCCGGGCGATCTGACAGACAAGCAGATGCGCGATTTCGTGATCAACGGAATGCAAGCTAACGCAGCTCTGTTCGCTGAGGGCACGAAGGGGCCATGGAAGAGCTTTGTGCTCAAGCCAGCTCGCGTCAATTGTGCCTTTGAAGACGCAGGCAAAATCGCAGCAAGAGGCTTCCGGCAGCCAGGTAAACTCCGCCAGTGCAGCAGACAAGATTGCGCAGGCGACCGCTGAGTGGGCCAAAGTCCAGAAAGCGAAAGCCGAGAGGGAGGCCAAACGCGGGACCTTGAACTACGACCTGAAAGCTAGGATCCGCGACGTCGGCTTGCAGCAGGTCCAAGGCGATCTGATGCCAAGCGGGGAAACCCTACTCCGAATGGAGGCGCCGTTGTCGGCCAGGGCCGCCAAAGAGAGGGGTCGGAAGTGGATCGGCTCTTCGGAGGGCGAGGACTTGCTCGTGAATTTCCGCTTATGGCTTTCGAAGACGCCGAAATTTGACTTTGTCGTCGGCGAAGGGTCCATCGATGGCAAAGTCAGAGAAGCTTGGGAGGCGAAGCGCGCGCGCACCGTGGAGGAGCGCATTGGCTTCACGGGCTTCGCCAACTTTCTCGGCCGCTTGCGCGACTGGGGCGTGAAGATGATCCTAGCGAAGGTCATCGCGCCCGGCCTGTGCAGTACATGGCTTACGAGATTCAGCTGGTGCGCCTGTGCGAGGAGCGCGGTGGCGCCCGAGTTATGTGCCACTATGATCTTCTTCTCCGTCACAAGCTGGCCCGCGCTCTCGGGCAGGGAGAGGGCGATCAGCTCGACGTTCTGCTGTGCAAGCTGGATCGTGATACCGCGGAGGACGCCGAGCGCAAGGTGTCCCAGCGCGCCGAGGAAGTCGGCCAGGCAAGCGGCAACGAACCCGCGACGGGCGGCGCAAGCGGCTCCGCCGGCGCGGGCTGGAAGGGTGGCAAAGGGCCCAGTCCCAGCCCCCAGGGGGGCGGCAAGGGCGAGTCCAAGGGTGGCGAGACGGGCCCCAAGGGTTCCATGGCACCCAAGTCGCCGGGACGCCGCAAGACAGATGGTCCTTGAGGCCACAGCGGCCAATTGCAGGACTGGGGCAAGCAGAAGTGAGCGGAGCGCGGCAGCCCTAACCCAGACGACTCTGTCTCCAGCGGGGCGCCCTCCGAAGAGGAGGCGTTCTGTGAGAGCTCGAAAGGCGCATTTGGCGCCGACAAAGGTCATTCTGCGCTCAAGCAACGCCGCCAGAAAGCTGGCAATGGATCCGTTCCCTCACGTAGAATGGGCGCTGCGCCTCCCGCGGTGCACCGGTGCTCTGCGCGTCCCCGAGGCGTCCACAGTAGCAATTAATTGGCGCTGCGTCCGACCCTAATGCAGTGCATGCGTTCAGGAAGCAAAGGCTAGAATGCCGGCAACGCCGCCGACGCGTGACGGTCCCAGTTTGGCGCGATCGATTCGAGCGTCTGCCGGCGCGAGTTCGTGCTATTCTGGGGCCAGGAAAGATTTCTGGCTCGGAGGGCGGTGGCCTTCCCGCTGCGCTGGGGCGCGGTTTGTATGGTTGGGCCCGTCCCCGCTGGCGGCGCCACGCGCAGCTGCGGCGCGACTGCCCGCGCGCTGCCCAGGGCGCTTCTCGCGGAAGTTCCCGGCGCGAGCGCCGCCATCTTGTGCAGGGCGCAGGGGCCCTTCGCACGGGGCCCTCGCGATGCTGAGGCTTTGCGGACGCGCGCGCGGGCTCAGGTCGCAGTCGGGCTGAGTGGCGCGACTTGCCATTGGATCTCTCGGGCGTTGTGCTGTCGCCCCGCTTTCCTGCAGATGCAGGATGGCGCTTCCGCGCAGGCTGGCGGTGGCTCCAGTGGGTCCTGGCCATCGACAGTCTGACGGCGTCGGGCGTCAGCGCTGTGACGGGGCTCTCGCAGTGCGTCGCTCGCGAAACTCCCTCGACGATCTAGCGGCCGCTGCGCAGTGCCTCGCGCCTGGTGGGGCCGTCGCGACGGGCGTCCGCATTCGAAAAAACGACGTCCGTGAGGCCTATGAAATTTTGCCGCCGCAGAGCGAGCGCCTCCAATTTGCGGCCCTTGTGGCGGCTGAGTCGGTGGGGCACGTTCAACTCCTGCAGCTGCACAGCTTCCCGTTCGGGGCGAAGGTGGTGCATCCTCCAAGGCCTGTTCAGGATTATTCATCCACGTTTTCGCCGCCAATGCTGAGCGCGCGCGAGAATGCAGCGGCGGCGCTGTGGGCGCCGCCTCCCTGGCTAGAGTCGTCGCTCAGGATGTGTTGGGATGGCGTCTAGATTCAGATGAAGCAGCGACGGCTGCCTGCAGTTTTGGCGCTCGGCGCGCGCGTCTCCGCAGATGCGGCCGCTGAGTGTTTCAATTGTGTGATCCCGGGCGAAAAATGCACCGAGTGCGTGGGTGAAATCGTGGGGCGACACCAGATCATGCGCCGAAGTTGGCAGGCGGGCTCAGCCAGGGTGCCGCGGTGATTCCAGGGAACAGGGGCGCGGGTCTAGATTGCGCCGCTTTTCCGGCACATGGCGGGGGGGAGCAAACGCGCGTCGAATCGCTTGTGCAAGGCACTCGGGCGGTGGCGGCGTTACCTCAGCGCGCGGCCTCGCAGGTTTATGCCGCTGTTTCCAACGGCCAAGCCGCGTTTGACATGAAATTCAGACGCGACCGGGGTGGGCGCGCTGGCTTGGGTCGCTGCGTTTGTCGGTCGTGCACTTTCGCGCCTGTCCCCGTCCTGGGTTAGCTCGCGAAGCGGGTTTGCAGTGGGCGGCGGCAGATCCGCGCGCGAGAGCTGGCGGCGGCTGCGCGCGCGCTCAGGCCTCTCTTCGAAGGAGCAGAGAGCACGGCTCGACGCTATAATTGTTATCGGTTCCTCAGTGGCGCTCGTGACGTTGCTCCGCGGGCGCTCCCGCCGGCGAGATTTCGACGCCGCGGTGACAGGCAGCTGCGACCCGCGGCCACTTTCTGAGTGCATTCTGTGCGCCGTCGCACTTGGACGCGGCGGATTGGCCCGCTTGCGAGGAGCAGAGATCCCCGGAGATGGCGCGACTTGTCGCTTCAGGCTTCGCCGGGGTCGAGCGGGGCTGGCCGCCAGTGAAGCTTCGGCAGGAGTGAGCACTGGAGAAAATCATCGCGGGCGGCAGAAGAAATGCGCGTCTCTGGTCTGCGGCCGCCGTGTCTCCGCTGCGGCCCGCGCGCGTGGCGCGCGCTGTTCTGCCGTGGCCAGCAGGGCCCAGGATGGCAGCTGAGTTCGTTGACCGCAGGCGCAAGAGAAGGACAAAATGCGATGGCGCTGCTGGCGCAGATGCTGCAGGCGAGGCGTCGGGCCCAGGCGGGGCCCGAGTGGCCGCGCCACCTGCTCTGGGCGATCGGTTCGCCTCCGTGCTCCAGCGCGCGCCGCCGCAGTGCCATCTGGGAGGTCCGGGCGACGTTTGGCGCGCTCTTGCTGACGGCGGCGCCGTTGGCGGCGATGACTTCTCCGACCTGGGCGCGCGGGAATCTCTGGGCGTCTGGCCTTGTCTCTGGGGTCTGTCCAATGAGTTCTTGGCCGTTCCGCGCCCTGGCGCGCCGCTGCGGCGGCGGCCGTTGGCTGCCCTCGATGGGGGGGCCGGCCCAGACGTTGCGCGCGCCAGCGGCGCAGGGGGGCATCTCGCAGGCGAAACAGCCGGCGGCGAAATCAGCGTCGACGGCCCTCGGTTTTTTGGCGGCGGCTCGCTTGCGAGGCGCACTTCGGGGCCCGAACGAGCGGGCTGGGGCCGTGCGGGCGCTCGGCCGCGTCGCGCCTGAGTAGCTGCAGTTGGCTTGGGCGAGACGACGCGGCGGCGCCTTGGGCGGCGCTGGAGAGCAGGCTGCGCAAATGGCGGTCAACGTGTCTCAGTTCGACGCCGCGCAAGAGCTGCTAAGACGAGAACTTGTACATGAATGTGTGCTTATATTTATATTTGTGTATGTATACACGTCTGCAGCGCGGCGTTGGGGACAGTTTGCCCTCGGGCTTGCGCCGCGGCCGCCGGCCGAGCCTGTTCCAGGGGCTTTTGCGCTCGCGGTGCAGAGCGGCGCCTCGCTGATGACGCATTGCGCTCAAGTCCGTTCGGCGCTCAGGTTGCTCTGGATGCCGCCGGGGCGCCTGGAGGGCGCGTCTGCCCTGGCGCGGGGCCCCTCGAAGCTTTCGCTGTCCGCCGGGGGGCGTCTTCGGGCGCGGGCCGCAGCGCGGGTGGCCCGGGGCCCGGTGGTCCATGCGCGGTGCGTTTCTTCCATGGGGCCCTTGGTGGCGGACTCACTCGCGGTTGCGCGATACTTCTGCTTGCGCCTCGCTTCAGGAGCGGCGCCCTTGGAGCGCGACGGGGCGCGCTCTGAGGTCGCGCTGGCGGTCGACGAGGGCCCCCCCAAGGCGTCTCTGCGCTTCCGCGGGCGGAAGATGCAGACAGGAACTGTGTTGGTGTCGAGGCCCTGCGTTTGCGCGCTCCAGCGTCGGCAGCTATGCGGGGCGTGCGTCCTCCAGTGCCGTGCCGGACGAGGTCCGCGTTTTCCCTGGCTTGTCCTGCAGGGCGGCGTTGGCCACGCTGGAAACAGCAGCGCTGGCGCTGGCGCCGGGCTTCGAGCGCGCGGCGGGGTGGGGCGCGCATGCGCTCCGCGGGGGCAGGGGTGGCGAGTGCTTGGCAGCGGGTGGCGCGCCGGCCCCCTGCCGCAGTGGGGGGTGGCGCAGCGTGGCCGCGCGACGCCGCGTCCGCTGCGGAATGGGCTGGCGATTTTTCGGACTCGTCTGCGCCCGACGGCGCGCCCTGAGCATGGGAGAAATTTATTATTTTGCTTGGCGTGTGTGCGCGTGCATGTCTGTGTGCTTGTCCAGGCAACGTTTGCTGTATGCTCGCTTGCTCCGCGCAATCAGAGGTGATCTCGGGGGCCCTGCTACGCGTTGGTGGCCTCTGGGGTCGTCGTCGTCGTCGTCGTCGTCGTCGTCGTCGTCGTCGTCGTCGTCGTCGTCGTCGTCGTCGTCGTGGTCGGCGGGGTAGCGTTTCGCCGCCGCCGGAGAATTGGCGCCACTTCCATGCTCTCGTCGTCAGCAGTGGGGTTGGGGTCCAGGTCGCCGGGGGCCGCAGCAGTGGGTTTTGAGAGGTCTTCGGAGGTTTCTCGGGCTTCCCTGTCCGGCCGCGCGCTGTGCTTTACGCAAAGGTCAGCGCGAACGCACTGGACAAATTCACGGAGAGCGGCCAGGCAAGAATCTTCATCATCCCAAAGCTTTGGTTCTGGGGAAGAAGACTCCCACAGGCCGTGGTCATCCCATTTGGGGATTCGGTGATTCGTTCGCCTTGCCTTACGGCTGCTCCGCCCCCTCGCCCGCTGCCCAGGCCCGAGGCGGGATGGCAAGTTTCGGCCGCGGTTCCGAGGGGAACGGTCTGCGACCTGCTGGTCTGCTATTTTGCAGAGGAGCACGGTCGCGGGCGTGCCTCGTGGTTCGCCCTGCGCTCGCCAGCGCAGCCGGCTCTCCCACCCACCCTCCCTGGCCGGGGTCTTGACAGGTCCTCGGGGGTCTCTTGGGTTTCCCCGTCCGGCCGCGCGTGTGCTTTGGCCAAAGGTCCGTGCGAGTGCATTGGACCACCCCGCAGAAAGCGGCCAGGCAAGACTCTTCGCCTCTTGGGGCCTTTTTGGGAGCCGAAACCCTCTTGGAGGCTTCTTGGGGCGTCTTCTTGGGCGTCTTCGAGCGATGGTTCGGCGACTCGGGGTCCTCTTTGACTGTCTTGGGGGCCTCCTGGGCCGTCATGGAAGCTTTGGTGAGCTTCAGGGAGGCGCCATGGCCGCCCAGAGACCCACTGGGACAAGGAGTGGCGCAGTCGGCTGGGCTACCTGCGAAGGGGGGTTCTTTGGAATACTACAGGAACCCTGCCTGACAACCACTGGCATTTTTCCACGCTTCGACGTGCCGCAGGCACGGTGGTGGCGGCGGATGTACAGGGGCAAGGTCTTGAGGTGTCTTCAGAGGTCACCCTGGTGTTTTTTTTTTGGTCGAAGGCTCTTGGGGGCCTGCAAAGATACGGGGCAA